AGGTCCTGTAGACTCACTCCCCAGAGCTCTCGTTTCAGGTGGGAGGGCACACAAAACAGAAACATGCAGAACTTGGCAGGTACTGTACAAATGTTCTTAAAGTACTGTGGTCTAACATGCTGCTTCTCTTTCTTTGTTTTGTTACCGTCCCCTTTTTATTAGGGCAAAATGGAGTATGTCTTTGAACTGGATGTTTCAGGGAAAGTGGAAGATGTTGTGGAAACATTGCTTCAGGTAAGCCAGTGACTTAGGCACTCACTGGGCAGTGTATTCAGGGCAAACTGAGGCAGAAACTCTTCTAAATTTCATGTTTATATGTCTTAAACCATAATCTCTTTTCTAAATATGTAGCAGATTCACTTGAATTTGTTGAATTTGGCAACTATATATTAGGATGAAATTATAGGTAAAATCAGAAGTAATCTTGACTGTTTGTTGCAAAGTAACAGAATGATTGCTGTCTTTCATTGCTTCTAAAGAAATAATTCATATCATCTGAGAGAAAAAAATGCATTCATGTATATTTGTGATGTTGTAGCTTCACAGAGCATCGTGCCTTAACAAACTGGGTGACCAAACTGCCATGGTAAGTGTTTCTATTTGTATCTTTGCTTGCGAATTAACTTGTATTGATATTCTACTTATAAATGCTTATATCCATACTTTTAAACGGTTCTGTTTTAACAGATAACAGCTATTTTGCAGTCACGTTTGGCTAGGACTTCATTTGACAAAAACAGGTATGTTTTTAATGATCTTGTTTCCTGATTAGGAAAGCAGTGGACGTCTTCATCTGTATGCCTCATTCAGCATGTCCAAAGCTGATGTCTTCATCAGTCTCACCCGAAACCTGTTTGCCTTAAAAACAGTCTCAGGTGCCTCAGTGCAGGAGAAATCTCCGGGGCTTCCTCAACTCTTCCCCATCCTGACCTCTGTCAGTCAGAAAGGCCTGTTGATCGATCCTCCCTACGATCTCTCCAGTCTGCCTGCTTCTGTCTGTGTATACTGTGACTGCCTCAGTTCAGGCCACCATCTCTTCCCACCCAGGGCACTGTAACAGCTTTTGGCTCATCTGCCTGCCCCTAGTCTTCCCTTCTCCAAACCTCTTCTTCCCCGGTACCTAATGTCCTTTTAAAATCTGTTTTTTCTAAAGAACTTATTTAATCATATATCTCTTGCCTGTTTAAAACTCT